GGGGGTGAAGAGGGCAGGGACAAGGGGAAAAAATGAGAACCAAGACCTGTCATGTAAAGGTACAAGATCCCAATAATGTATGTAACTGTACTGTATACCTAAAATTATCAATAAACTCAATAAAAAGAAAAAAAACAAAGAAACTAACCAGGGTTGGTTCGGCGATGTAGCTTAATGGTGCAGCGCCTGTCTGGCAAGCACAAGGTCCTGGAGTTTGATACCTAGTACCAGAGGAGGGGAAAAAGAGAAACCAACCAGGGTCGAAGACAGAAAAGCCATTTCACTGCTGTTGAGGTTGTATGTTGGGAGCAACGCTGCCTCATGAAAGTGATTAATTCTGTAATACACTGGAAGACTACAGAACATGATTGGATGCACAAATCCAATGCGAAGATGGTAATGGCAGTAGAAGCATGAGATAACGGGAGCCTGATCACAATGCAAGTGCCCTCTGTGTCCCGAGTACTATGCCAGGCCCTGAGGTTACAATCAGTAAGGTGGGCATGGTTCTTGCCTTCAAAGAAATTAAGGTCTACGAAAGGGAGAAAAGCAATTAAACAATATCAATATCGGCAAGTAATATGAAAGCAAGGGGTGCCACAGAATTAATGCTATCTGACCTCAGGTCAGAAAATACTTCCTACATGAACTAATAAATAATGCCAACAGGATGGGGAAAAATGGAAAGTGTTAAATTGCAAGAATGTCACTTTCCCAGATAGTTTTTAAATGTACCCATTAGGAAATGACAAAAAAGAATCCTCAAAGGGCAAAATTAAAAAGTTAACTTAAAGGGATAAGCAAAACTGGATTAGATTTCTTATTAGTAGCATGTACCCCCCCAAAAAAAAGATTCTGTCTTGTCTCTCTTGCTAGTTTACTAAAAAATTTCTCAGAACCAAAATCAAGGAACTTTTTCTAGTGCTCTTATCTATACACTCAAAAAGGTACACAGCAGATATTCAACCAGATTTTTAAAAAGCCTGAATTACACTGAATAGGACATATGCATGAAAACATATACACAATCCTATGTTGTAGCACTGACTATAATAGTGAAAAACAGGAAACAGGTGTCCATAATAGATGAATGGATACTTACAATATGGCATAGTAGATGACAAAAGACTATATAGCAATTAAAAAATGAAATAGAAATATGTCAGCATAACAGATCTCTAAAACATGTCCAGGTTTTCAGTGAAAATGACTTGAGGTTTTACTTCATCACAATATTCCTACTCAAAAAAAAAAAACAGAAAAGATATACACAGTATAAAACTTAAAGAAGTTCAAAACAAGATAAATATCTCTATAGACAAGAGACACAACAGAAATACAAAGCAGTACACCAGGGTGAAGCCATAGGCTAAGTGGGCTCCGTGTGCCAGCTGCATGTTATAGTTTTGAATTCAATTTGTATAAGATAATGAATACTAAGAGTGCTCCAGATGAGAAAGAGCAAAAGTCAGTCTGACCACATGAGGCAAAGTCTTGGGTACGGAGGTCTCCTGTCTGTAAAAGGTTGAAGAACTGGCACAAGGTACAGCCTAGGTCTACAGATAAATGCTATGGCACAGCTGGCAGTATGTGTAGGCATAAGAGGAGAAGGGGACAAAGACACAGCCTGTAACACTGGTTCTCCATGATCTTGGCATACAGTCATTATGTGTGTTTCTGTGTATGTCTGTGTGTGTGTCTGTGTTTCAGGAAATTAAATATATCTTTATTACAAGTAATGCATGCTGATATTTTATTTTCTTAAACACTGAATGCAATACATTAATTTTATGATATACATTTTTAAAAACACTATCTTGCTCAGATCCTGATGGAGGCCTGCAGCCTCAGCCAGGAGTCCCAGCCGCTTTCAACGGAGAAGAAGCCTGGCCAGCCACAGCCTCAGCACCATCACACCCACCACTATCCACACCATCACTCTCTGCAGCAGCAGCAGCAGCAGTTGCACCATCACCACCATTATTATTTTTACAACTATATCCACAACCACCACCACTGCAATCACCAGCAGCCTCACCAATACCTGTAGCATGGAGCTGAGAGCAGCCCCAAGGCCCAGCCAAAGCTGCTGAAACATGAGCAGAAACACACCCTCCAATAGCACCAGGAAACACCGAAGAAGAGAACAGGCTATGGTGAAATAAATGGTAATGCTAGAGAAAGAGAAATGTCTTTAAAGAACGGGGGTTCTGATGAAGCTATTTCCAGGGTCCTGAAGGGCAACCAGCAAGTTGTAGATACTAGTCTGAAGCAGACTGTGAAGGATGGCACCTTTGGGAAGACAAGAATTAAAACCAAGAATTTCATTCAGAAAAACAGTGTGGACAAAAAGAATGCAAAGTCTTAGGAAAAGAAATCTGGAGAAAACCAGTCTGTAGATAAAGTTGATACTGTAGCAATTCCAAACAGTGTTTTAACAAATAATTCAGGCTATATTACTATTGGTTATATGGGCAAGGGCACAGATTATGATGGTAGTAGATCAGAAAGTGGATATATGACTCCTAAGAAAAAGGAAAGCTAGGCAAAATAGTGCTAACAGTTGTGAAAACCTTAACTTAGTCCAGGACAAAATAATGCAACAAGAGACTAGTGTCCCACCCTTAAAACAGGGACTTGAAAGTTTCAAGCCTGACTATAGTGAATAAAAGGAAAATCAAGTCAATGGTTCAAAGCCCATTTGGAAGTATGAAACTGGACCTGGAGGAACAACTCGAGGAAAACCTGCTATGGGTGATGTGCTTTGTAAAAGCTCAGATATTAAATCTGGTGTGAACAGCAAGAAGTTTGATGACCAGCCTAAAGGAAAGCATGCCTCAGCTGTTGCCTCCAAAGAGGGCTCATGGACCCTATTTAAACCACCTCCAGTTTTTTCAGAGGACAACAGTAGTGCTAAAATAGATCCTAAAATAAGTTATGCAAAGTTAAGGAAAACCTCAACAAAACTATACAGAACTCTCCTGTCACCATCTTCTTCTTCATCCTCTTCATCATCTACTGGGGAAACTCAGACCCAGTCTTCAAGTTGATTATCCCAGGTCCCTATGTCACAGCTGAAATCTGTTACTTCTGCAACCTTTTCTAATGGGCCTCTTTTAGCAGGGACTGATGCAAGCATGTATCCTCCAGGGGGTCAGCCACTGCTAACTACCACTGTTAATACACTAACACCCATCTCTTCTGGAACTGATTCAGTTCTACAGAACATGAGTCCAACTTCAGCAGCTGTTGAACAAATTAAATCTAGCCTTTTTCTCTATCCTTCCAAAACACAAAGTATGCTGTTGAATACAGCACAAGCAGATCTGCCCTCTCAAAGAGATCAGCAAAATCTGGGGGACATCTTCCAGAATCAGTGGGGTTTATCATTTATAAATGAGCCCAGTGCTGGCCCTGAGACTGTTATTGGGAAGTCTCAGATCATAAAGTGATGGAGGTGGCATTTGAAGGAGAATATCCTGCCACTTTGGTTCCACAGGGTGCTGAAATAATCCCCTCAGGAACTGAGCATCCTGTGTTTCCCAAGGCTTAAGAGCTGGAGAAATGGACTAGTCCTCAAGTTCTGGGTAGCATTCTAAAACCTGGGACTATTAGTGAGAGTGAAGCCTCATCCTTGGAACCCAGTCATATAGGTGACCTGCAAAAAGCAGACACCAGGAATCAAG